AACTGGTTTACCACAATTGTTATTTAAAGATGCGTGTAATGCTAAAAGCAATGAATCTCATTTGGGAACAATCCAATGTGCTGGTAGAAATGGAGATACTGTGCAATTTACAGCATCTGATGAAGTAACATTTACATTTTGTTGTTAGAATTAAATATTAATAGACTAACTTTTGCATTCAAATAAGGAGATAAATTAAATAATGTCTTTCATTTTATATATTAAATACAGTTATATTTATGTTTATTGTAATTTAATTTCAACATTGTACTGTAGGTGGCCACATGTACTACTGCTTCAATTTCAGTAGACATGTTTTTAACATCAGAAAATATTTTTGATTTTTCCAAGCTTAAAGAGACAGCAAAAAAAATAACTTATGATTTGAATAAAATTATTGATAACAATAATACTATACTTACTAAGGTAAAATTCTATACTTTTTCATAATATTCCATTAAACAAGTATTTAATAAGTTTCTTTTAGGAAGAACAGTTGCAATTTGGTTTAAAACAAAATCAATTGGCCATTGGAATCGGTATCCAAGGATTAGCAGATTTATTTATTAAAATGAAATATCCTTTTGATAATAAAGAAGCTAGAATTCTTAACAAACAAATTCATGAAACTATTTACTATGGTGCTTTAGAAGCAAGTTGTGAACTAGCTACTAAATATGGACCATATAAAACATATCCAAATAGTCCGACAAGTAAAGGGGTAAGACAATTATAACTAAATTTTTAATATTTATACATAAACTTATTAATTTGGTTTATGCAGTTATTACAATTTGATTTGTGGAATGTAAAACCCTCTAATTTATGGGATTGGAATAGTCTAAAAACAAAAATTGCACAACATGGACTACGGAATTCTTTGGTTACAGTTATTTCAAATACAGAAGTTGAGTCAACAATTTTTGGAAATGTGAATTCTATTGAACCATTAGACACCAATGTTAAACGTAGATATATTTCAATGGGAGAAAGTAAACCAAAAGAAATTCAGGTAATTTTAATTTGTTTAATTTTATTAATTAATTTTATTTTTATGAAATGTTTTTATTCAAGGTTGTAAATCCATATTTATTAAAAGATTTGCACGATCGTAATCTTTGGGATGAGTCATTAATATCTCAATTGGTGAATAATATGGGTTCAATACAGGTAATTTATTAGGTATTAGATATCGGACATTTAGCTCTAATGAATTTATGTGTTTAGGAAATTAAAGACCTGCCAGAAGATTTAAAACAATTGTACAGAACAAAATGGGAAATTGACCAAAAAGCTTTGGTGCAAATGGCTGCTGACCGTGCTCCATTCATTGATCAATCACAGGCTTTTTCTCTTAATATGGTTAAAGCAAATGAAGACATAATATCTGAAATGCACATATCAACATGGAAAATGGTAATATTAGTAATTTTAAAACATTTATGAGAAGCTCGTATTAGAACTATTTAATGTTTTTAAGGGTTTGAAAACTGGGGTATGTCAACTAAGGATTAAGCAAACTGAAGAGGATCTACGAGATTAATAATTTCTGTAAATATTATGTTTTTTTTTCTATTCATATAATGTAGAAGTTAAAATTAGGCGTATAATTGATAAGTAATTTTTGGCACTCATATTTTATACATATTTAATGTTAAGTTAATTCTTTGTATTTTTCAGTTTAATTATTCATTTGGTTTATTTTAGTTATCATAATAAACTGTTAAATATTAAATTCTATTGCTTTAAGCTTTACAATTATTTATTTACTACACCAAGTATTAAGTTAAAGTGTTTGAGATGATTTATGAAGAGGGTGAATAAGGTGGTACATTGGTGCACTGAGTGAACATTTCTTAGTTCCACTTTTTCACCTACTGATTAATTGTATTTATAAGTAATTAACTATGATTACTAGATAATATGCCTGTGCACTAGATCTATGGTTTCTTTATTCATCTTTAATCTATTAGATGTGCAATATTTTTTATTTATCTTATATCCTATTTACAGACTACAGTTTAATATAAAACCAATAACAATAGTTATTTAATACATTTTGGAAACAAGTGGTATTAATATTTACTAGTTAATAGATGGTTAGCATTAATATAAACATCATTTAAAAGGAATGTATAGTACCGACATTTAATATTACTTTTAGATAAGTAATAATTACTCGATATTAGTGTTTGTTTATATCACCCAAAACGGGCCAAGGTCTAAGATTAACAATAATATACTTTATCATACAACACAATAACTAGGTAATAACAGGTAATGGATCTGAAAAGCAAAAGTATTTAAATAAAGGTAGCGCCTCTGATTTATTTTTTAGCAATGCTCATAATATTTTAGAATGAATGGTTAAATACATAGTTTTTGGTATGGAGTGGGATTGCAAAGGGAACATAAATTGTTGCCCCTGAAATTCATTTATGTAAAGATACTATTTATGTCTGGTGTATGAATAGAAAAATTGACTAACTTGTTGAACTTAATTTGAATATTGACCATCAAATGAGAGATTATCCTCTCTTTCGTGGTACACAGACATACTGTCATATACTAACCATATCACTGGATACTATTCTACAATTAAATTTACCAAGAAGCAATATGTATCTTTAACAGTCATAGTGAACTTAAACTAAGCTTTTGAAAAACACAATTAAGTGTTTTACAACAAGTGGATTCAATTTGTGAGTGAAAGTCAAGGGTGTGTTCAGAATTTATTCCTAAGTCCCTTATATGATAATGGTCGACGCAGTGTGATGTGATGTCACATCGGCGTGAATAGTATGATTATGATTTATCTAGTTGAACATTCCTGAATAGGTACCTATTATTGTAATTTTATTGATGGTAACTATTTATGACACATATTCAAGTATGTTGTATGTTTAATGTTAATTATGTTTAGTCATAAAGAATACTCTTACCCTCATACATATATTATCATAAAACAATTATTGTATTATTATATGTATTTGTTTACTTACATAATCAATAACGAATCATTAAGATCCTAGTTTCATTTATTGTAGTAAATAATTTTTATTAATTGTTTGCATTAATTCTGTCATATACTAACCATATCACTGGATACTATTCAATTTAATTTACCAAGAAGCAATATGTATCTTTATTCTTTAATAATCATAGTGAACTTAAACTATGCGTTTGAAAAACACAATTAAGTGTTTTACAACAAGTGGATTCAATTTGTGAGTGAAAGTCAAGGGTGGGTTTAAAATTAATTCCTAAGTCCCTTATATGATAATGGTCGATCCAGTGTTTGAAAACTATTATATTTTAATTCTTTTAAATGTTTTGACAATGTTACATCGGTGTGAATAGGGTGATTATGATTTATCTAGTTGAACATTCCTGAATAGGTACCTATTATTGTAATTTTATTGAAGGTAACTATTTATGACACATATTCAAGTATGTTGTATGTTTAATGTTAATTATGTTTAGTCATAAAGAATACTCTTACCCTCATACACATATTATCATAAAACAATTATTATCTTATTATATGTATCTGCTTACTTACATAATCAATAACAAATCATTAAGTCAATCCTAGTTTCATTCATTGTAATTAATAGTTTTTATTAATTGTTTTTGCATTAATTCAGTAAAAAAAAATTTCTTTTAATTCTACGATTTATTTTTATAGACAACCTGTCTAATATAAATACAATGATGTGTGTGTGTGTGTGTGTGGTTTTTTTTTGTCTATAAACACTAACAAATAATTTGATTTTCAATTTTAAGAGAGATTTTTGATTGATAGTTGGACCTAGTTTAAGCTTTTGAGAGGTCATAGTGTAAATTTATTTGTAATTTTCAAAATAACTGAGAAAACAAAAAAAAAAATTAAAAAAAACGGGAATTATTACCGAAAACTAGTTTTCACAAAATCGATATCCCTTTTTTGATGCGGCTCATAAATTAAAAGCCATGATATAACTATTGCCTGTTTCCCATAATAGGTTCATAATTAATTGGCTATTATTAAGTTATTTATAGACTCATGAAATTTTCATTTTTTTTTTATTATTATTCCTTATAACTTGTTTATGTATTAATTAAAAAATATCGAAAATACACAATATTAATAATACGTGTTTAAATTGAGAATTTTGACAATATTCGTCAAAATCGAGAAAATTAATTTTCTATTTTGGGTTGGAAATTCATACAAAATTGTCTTTTTATATCTAAGATTTGAAAATGTAATATAAGAGATTCCTCATAAGCTTTTATACTATTACCAAAAAAAAGTTTCCGGAAACTGTAGTCATTAATTTTGTTTGAGCGTTTGAAGTTCAAATGTTAACCTTAAATTAACGATTCTCTTATTTAGTTGCTTTCAAAAAATATTAACTATAGAATGTTAGTATAAACATTTTCTATTCATGGTATATTTTTTATATTTAATTTGCATTTACATTTTCAATTTTCATTTTTTTTTTTAGTTTGTTTTCTATAAGCGTCGATAATAAAATTTTCACTGGGTCAAAAACCTTGAACAATTTATACAAGGTTTCTCATAAGTGGTTATAATTGCAGCAGCTTAAAAATATTGAAATCATATTAATATAATTTTTTTAGTAATAATTTAATGTTAAAATGTTGTCAAAATTCTTCAAAATTACGAACATTTGAACTTACTGTATCACCTACTATGGGAAAATAAATAACTAGCAATATCATCATAAAATATACTTATTACTTAGTAATAAAGGATAACACAGACCTTATTTGTTCAAAATCGTACAATGATTACAATGATTTTTTATCATTGAATTTATATTTAACACATGAGTGATGGCATCCACTTGCCCACTTTTTTTTCGTAGGAGTCATCGAATCGAAACCAAACCTTTTTTTGTTGACTTATACTTAATAGTCACTAATTATTAGTCTTTACAATTATATAATAATTTAGCTTTTATGAAATATTTGTACATTGTTTTCAATACCTATTTTATAATATTTAATTTCACGGATAATTTATTAACGTTGGGTTTGGGTAGGTACTGAAACTGTGATGCACTATTTTAATAACAAAAATATTCGAACAAAGTCAATAATATATACTATTTAGATAGGTATTTAAAGTAATTAGTAATGGTAAGTGATGACTGATGACAACAATTAATGACAATTGACAGCAGCAGTGTCCTTGTCTGACTTGTCCTCTGCTCCTCTTTAAACCGTTGAATGTGACATTGTGACAATAATTTTTCTGTCGTAGAATCCTAAAAAAGAGAATGTAAAGAGAATTGCTTAGAATACTAAATAGTATATTATTATTATTGGAAAAAATTCCGGTTTTCAATCACAACAATACAGTTAAATAAGTCAATATTGTCAATACCTACTATATATAATATACCTAAATACCTACTTGGTTACATATTATATTCAGTAATAATAATATTAATAATTTAGGTATAGTATTATGATATTATATGTATTGGGCGTTCTTATTATGCAATAATGTGTTGGAATAAAGGTATTCAATCAGATATTATCAAATATTAACATATACATTAATATATGTATAGGCATAGAACACTAGTGTTCTATGGTATAGGTACCTCTATATGGTTTTGAATATGATTTTTTGAATTTCGTCTTACTAACTATGTAGAAGAAGTATATTATCTAATAACAAAAATAATATGAGATTTTCATCAAAAGGATGGCGACTGGGCCGTAGGTAATTCGCAAGCTCTGTCGATAGGTAGGCACCTACCTCAGTATATATATTTAAGTAGGTATTATTACGAAGACCGTCGGCCGATATAGCTCTCTTTAGCATTTATTGCACAGAAAGAGTTAAAGCTCGAAATTGAGCTAAATTATACCGTTGTGCAAAATGTCTTTAAAATCAAAATCGCTGGTCTCAGACATCGATGTTTCGGGACCCCAATTGTAGCGGCATCGTTTTTTAGGGGTAGCGGTGATTGCCGGGAGGGCGTGTCCTGTAGTAGCCGCGGAGTGGTTTATGCGATAATAATATCAATATTATATAATATCATATTTAATAAGCATAATAGGTATTAGGTAATTCTATTATATTATTATGTATGTCATGCTATGTGGATAATGTCAATAATTATTGCTCAATGCTCAATAATTTATAAAAAAAATCATAAAGCGACGATGAGACTACGAGAGCGCGACTTGGTGTTGGCTGTGGGGTGAGTCATAGTATTCGCATCCCCACCTCTGCCCAGCCCTGACGACCGACAAGCGTGCACCAGGCGCCGGTGTCAGACACTCCGACCTCACTAGGCAATAGTGAAATACTGCAGTAGTCAGTAGTCACTACTCGCTACATCAGTGACCAGTGTATTTTCAGCTGCCGGTGGCACGTCAGTCGTGTTCGCGCCACCTTCTCGACCGTTATAGCACGCGCATCACATCGGTGGTCGGTGTCTGATTTTTCGATACAAGTCCTAGAAGTCGTCCTCAGAAAACATGCCGAACATAATTAATGAGGTGAAGTTGGACTTCAAAGACGTGCTTCTCAGGCCGAAAAGAAGCACACTGAAGACCCGGGCTCAAGTGAGTGTTGCATACAAATTTATTATAAAAAAAAATCGATTTGTGTAAAAAAAAAGTACCTATGTGACAAAAACTACAATTTTGTTTTCTGTTGTAGGTAGACTTGTTCCGACATATTACGTTTCGTAACTCCAAGCGCACTTATCAGGGTATACCGATGATGGCATCCAATATGGACACTGTCGGAACATTCGAAATGGCAGCTGCCCTGGGAAAAGTAAGCATTCAAACAATAATGTGTTGCTTGTTAAAGTCATACAGACAATTATTTATTGATAGTAATGAACTATTTATAATCCAAAACAAAAGTTTTACATTTAGACACACTACATATTTATTTTCTTTCATCAATTCATAATAATATTGTTTTTTTTTTGTAGGTATACCTACCTATTTTTTATAGATATTTAAATTCCATTCAGTATCAAATGATTTAAAAAATGTTAATTATTTGAATTTTTTTTCATTTTTCACAACTACAGATTTATTTAGCTAATAACAAATTATTTCTACAGTTTTATTGTGTTATAGTTTCATGATATATTGGGTAGAGTATTAATGTTATACTGAATATAAAATGATATCACTTTTACTAAATGACCATCATTGGCACTTTAGAAAGGTAATTACATTTTTAGTAATTACTAAAATCTAACTTTCTATGTCTTTGACCTACTTATTTTTCTATCCTTCTATCATAATAATAATAATGATATTTTAAAACACCTCTTACATTTAAGTTTATAAATAGAACAAGCTAGAGTAAAGCAAGAACTGTCAGATGTTTCATTGGCAACTTCACAAAAAATATAAATTATTCAATTTTATTCAAATATTGCTATTGTTTGGTTAAAACTTATAAATATTGTAAACAGATATGGGTTTCAAGTTTTTAGTTATATAAACATAAATCAGTATTCTTTTATTTGCTGTTGGAAATGTCTTCTTTTTTACATTAAATAGGGTCTCAATTATATACTAATTTGCATTTTTATTTTTGGCTTATTAAATAACATTTTTGCTTTAATCCTGTCTATAAAGTATTCTATACGTCAAGTTAAAATTATTTTTATACTTATACTGTAGGTATCAATAAATAATTAAATACCCATATTATTTCTTAACTTTTTACACTATGAAACAAAATTATGACCCAATAAAATTTAATAATTTTTTGATTTTTGAATTGGTAACTTTTTAGGCTAGGTAAACCATAACTCATAAGCCATGAAATCTTTACAATTTAGTTTAGCTTGTTCAATTTTTGGTTAGTAAAATATTTTCCAAGGTAAAAGATATACCTATATTTTTTTTATTTTGTACTTTTTTTTAAAGATCTCAATTTGACTTTTAATTTTCAATTACCTATTTAAATTGTTTGCAATTTCATGAATTATTTTACTAGTTTTGAAAAATAATTCATATATTATGGCTATTTTTATGTACAAAGAAATCTTAAATGAAAATGGTTAAATAAATCATTATACACAAACATAAACAAATAACATTATTACCTGTCATTATGATGCCACATATTAAAATCATAGTAAATTTCAATTAACTTAAGTGTTTATTGCTTAAAACTATTTTGATTTTGAAATTTGTACATCAAATAATATTTGTATTAGTAATAGCTGGAAGAATACTACCTATTTATTATGATTAGTTCTATAATTCATTAATAGAACATTTAAAATGTAATTATTGATGAACACATTGGACCTATCACTATCTTTTATTAGATTTTTATTAGTAAAATAGTATGGTAGGTATATCAATTTTGTATCGGAACATTAATTATAATCATGATTATAATTTTCACTTCAAAACCTTGTACCTTCTATAAAAAACATTGAAAATTGTAAGCCAGTTTTTAATGATCTATTATAATTGATCAGCTCCCATAAATTAAAATGTTCTAAAACATTGTGTGTGACTCAAACTACATTGATTTTTGTTGCAAGTTAGTCAATTAAAAAGTTAGGTCAAATCAAATCAATTCTGGCAAAATAGAAATGTAGAGTAATCTATTAGTATTGACTTATTAGTAGATATTAAATTAGAATAGTAAATAGTAATGTGTTTTTTTAGCTTTGTGCTTACTTTGACAGCTCAATATAATGTTACTTTGTTAAAATACATCTAAAAATTATATTAATGTAATAAAATATATACCCAACAGTTAAATTTAACCAATTAAAATTTTTTTTCCTATAGGATTTTAGTTTAAAACATTTTAATCACCATCTTTATTATCTTTATTCAACCTATAACAATTAACAATGTAAATGTATTAATCAGCACACCTATCCCTGTGTACCAATGTTTGTATGTATTATAACATGCTATTTGACTTTGGCTCTACTACAAAATATGTATAATTATTAATCATATTATGATATTTGATGTTATGAATTTAGGATTGCAATTAAAAAAAAAAATATGTTCCTCCATACTAAATAGCCAGTATGCAATGCAATAGTAGACTTTAGTTACCTATAAATTAGAATTATTCAGTATCAATAGTGCTATGTAGATACTGTATTACTAATTACTTTATAGTACCTATATACTGTTTACATAATAATAATTATAAATTATACAATGCAATGAAAGTTTAAATACCCACTCTATTATAGTTATAGATTTATACAATTATTATAGCTGAAATGGGAAGCCTAATATTTAGGTAGTCATAAATATATAAAGGTACTAAATATATATTTTTAAATTATAGTTATTTGAAATTAAAGAAAATAATAATACAATACAATACAATATTTTGAAGACCTCAATTGTATGAGTAATAACGTTTTACAGGACAAAATAAATAGGTAGGTACTTGATTAATACCGACATGATTGTTATTCATATTATTCTATTTTAAATGTCTGCGAATTGAAATATAATATGTAGAAAATCTCGTAAAATATCAATACCTACTAAAATATGCAGTTAATATTTGTTAATCTTAAAAGTTATAAACTTATAAGTTTATAACACACTATTGTGAATCATGAGTCATGGTCGTTATCATCGTTTTGACAACGACTTCGCTAAAAATCGTTATTTTACGTTCATAATTCGCATGCCACTACAATAGCAGTTTCGGTGTTTCATTTTAGTACTTGTCTATATTGCATGCAATAATAAAACAGCTTAAAAGCCTGGTACAAAACTGGTACGGTTTACGTTTAGAATATACAGTCATTGCTTATGTAATTTTCCTATGAAATCTATACATCTTTTTTAATGCGGGTACTTGAAGTTGCTTTTAATATGTTTTTTAATTATTTTCTTGTTGATATTATAATATAATGTATAATGTATTATGTACATATATTATTGTATCATGAAAGTTGTTATTTATGTTGCATCAATTTGTGATTATCGATTTGACAAATTAGCAATATGCCAATATGTAATAAATAATCTGGTTTCATTGAGTTCAATTTAAAATATCTATGCCCTATGGTTGTTTAATAATTACAACGTAATTAAAATTTATCAAAAGTCTGATTTAGCTCGGAATTATTATTACAGTATACTATTTGTATTTGTGCTTTGTACACGCGATTCGGGTTTTCTCTGCGCGTTTATTTAAAATAAATAAATAATTAAAATTATTAATAATTAATTATCTTCGGTAGAGTATTTACAAGCAATTTCAAACTGATTAATGATATGATGTGTAGGATTTATTTATTTATTATTGTAAGTACTTACATAATAATTATGTTCACTGTTTAAGTTGTTTTAAAAATAAAGGTCTTATAATGTATAATAATTTCATTTCTTCGTTTTAACTCGAGGTAAAAATTATGTAAAACCATTCAACCAATTTCTTTAGTATTTAGATAGTACCTATATCGTTCTATACTCAATGCCAGTCAATGCCAATAATATCACGTGATCGTTGAATTAAGTACCTACATAGTATAATTCGTTTGATGTATCTATTATGGATTGGCATGTGTCTGTTTTTAATTGTTATCATGATATTTGTAATATTATTATTTACTATGATTGGTGTATATATTTTCTTCTTTATTATGAACAATGAATTATAATATATATTATCCACGTGATCGACTGCAGCGGCAGAGAGATAATTTTGTTTTAAATGACTCATCAATATTATTACCTATATTATAATAAAACGAGCATTAATAATATTATTGTCTTGCAATTTTCTTCAAAATATTGCATAATTTATTCGATCGATTCAACTAAATTTTACTTTTCTTATTTTCCACGTGACGCCGTGACCCTAAACGTCCACACGTGTCCATGGGCCCAGGCCATAGCTGACACGTAGGTTAATTAAGTTAAGAACATACTATTTTTAGAATCATAAAGAACAATATATTAATATTACACATTAAAACGTACATATGTAATTTAAATTCTAAACGTATCGATAAATGTATTGGTTTTTATGTGATTGTATTTTCTATGTCTCAATGTCTGTCATCATCTTTGAGAGTAAGTAGTAATAATGCTTCATTTTCAAATTTGTTTGCGGTTTCTGATTACAAATTGGATCTAGTTAGGACTTATTGGGGAATCAAATATCAATGGTAATGAAAATTGTATTTTTTGGCCTGAAGACACCTTGAACGTTTTAATCTTCAATATTTAAAGAAATTATTGGTAATAAATTGGATATGGATAAATGTCCAGTACTTTAAAAAATAATCGGAAAGAACTAAAAAAAAAAAATGATAGGATAATGAGAATATTTACGCAATATCATTCTTTGATAAAATCGATTTATTTTTGTAATCAAAATATATTGCAGTAGATACTTAAAATGTTCCATCAAATATTTGGAATAGTATTTTGAAGTCTTTATATAATTTTCTAAATATGTTGTTCTTTTTGTGCTATTTTACAGATAAAATGTAATTTTATTTAGTATTTTTTCGATTTTTTTCTTTATCAAACAGCTTGGAAATTTAAAAAAAGGATCCTCATGGATAGTTCTTTTAATAATTTAAAATTACCGTAAATCTTTGAAAAAATTCAAAAAATGTTTATTATTTTGTACCTAGTTAAAAATATATAGGTACAATTTTAAATTTAAATAAGTAAATCCTCAAGATTCTTCCTATACATGGTTCCTCATACTTTGTTTTTAAAGCATTTTAAAAATATCAAATATATACTTACATACCTGTTACGTACAATTTTTCTTGTTGACGTTTGATGTTCAAATTTGGACGAAATCGCATGTATACTGCAAAATAGAAATCAACCATCGTACCTATTCAAAAAATATTAATCATAGGGACTTGACACTTTTTCTTAGCATGCACGTCGCTTAATGTTTATTATAATTGTTTATTATTTGTTACACACAAAACGCAATGCAATTTTTTCATAATATTTAAATTAGTTTTAAGCTATTTATACCGTATAATGGTCGGTAGTTGCGGCCCGCGTATTGACTTATACTTACTATAAGTAATAACTAATATTTTATTATATAATATTAGCTATGTTATTGGTAACAATGTACCATTTTGTATAAATAATTGGTAGGTTAGGTACTAATAAAATTATGAAACTGCTATAGCAGTACGAAAATATTTTTCAGGACAATCTGCAGTACCCATTAATACTTTGGTACAGTACTTACACAAATTTGTATTTTTTCTCGATCATCAACAAATTTTAAAATTAAGTTCAGTTTTAAAAAAAATAATTTTAAAGTATATTTCAAAATTTTGCGTGAATTAACGAGTTAGCTTATTATTGTTTCTACGTGCGTACTGCTTAAACTAAATCACAGTTCATTTATTGTAAATTTTTTTACATAGAGATAATGTCATTGAAAACAAAGTATTAGACTATTAGATGTAAACCTATAGTATCAAACGTATTACAAATTCACTGATCACTACAGTTATATGCTACTAAAGTGTGTTCGAAGATGTAGTAATATCTCTAACTGTTAGTAATTCTTCCAAAGTTTCAACAATTGCTTGATACATTTGAAAAAATTCTAATGTGCCATCATCATACGTGCATTGTATACAAATAAGTCAATTTAGTATACTTAGAACAATTTATTTGTGTACCTACCTACTGCTTTTTAATACATTAGTTATCATTGCCAAACTTTTAATAAAATGTCCCACAGATTTCATTTTACCTACCACAATTTCTTATATTATGTTGAATATTATACAATTGAGAACTATAGGCACAATGTTTATACGTAAAGCGCTGCTGGGTGAGTTTTCCCGATACCTAATCTTGTATTAATTATACACCATTAACACGAACACTCATAGCAACATGGTTATCATATCTTTGACCTACCATATTATTATATTTAATGTCTATTCCATGATGCATTTCATTGTCTGTAATATAACTTATGCTAAATTTTGATTAGTTAAACAATGAACTGAGACGTTAATGGGACCGGAAACGGGAATTAACTTTTTTTTCTTAACTATGTTTTTTTTACGGTGCTAGCAAATTGGTTTTGTTAGTATGCATATTAATATATTTTTTAAATACAATAACATTTTTATTCTAAATTTCCATCACTATATATAAATCTGTGTATTTTGAATTATCAAGACACAGGCATAGGTACGCTTTCGCAAATAAATCCTGATTTCATTATTTTATTTATAATGATCATAGTATTTCACTACATTTCTCAACCAGCATTTTATTGGTAATTTTCTAATGGTGGAAGTCTATATTTATTTGAAATACAAATTGGACACAACTGTCTTTGAACTTAACATTGGCCATTAGATATTCGGATCTTAAATCCTGAAACCACTTATACAGTTATACGTCTTCACCGAAATGCTTAGAAATTATTTTCACTAACATTTGATACATAATATCGATCATTTAAATATATTTTTTTACAGATTCCAACATTTTAATTTCAATATTTAATAACTATAAATGTCTTGTCTACTATATTTTCCACCACATATTAAAATATTTTCGTCTTATAAATAATATATTTTTCGATTTAATTTATGTTTAGCATGGGATATTTACTACAGTTCACAAATACTACGAACCTGCTGAATGGTTAGAGTTTGCTAACAACAATAAAGAAATTTTACCACACATAGCTGTTACTTGTGGTATAAATGACCATGAATTTGAAAAACTAAAAAATATATTGGAAGCCGTACCAGATATATCTTTTATCTGCCTCGATGTGGCTAACGGTTACACTCAACAATTTGTGGATATTGTTCGGAAAACTCGTACAGCATACCCACAACATACAATAATTGTAAGTATTTTTAAATAACACAACATCAATCACACATTGTAATATATTAATTATTAAGTAATTAATAAAGTGTTTATTATTGATTGATATTAATTTTTTCCATGTTTCAAAAATTAACATTTATGGCTATAATAATTATATACCTACCTAATATATACCCGTTTTTTGTCTTACGGCTGTTTGCCTGTATCGCTGCTTATGAATTACGTCCCGAGTTTTTCTTGAGCAGTTGAGCACGTCTGAATTGCGTCCACATTACCTGTGATATCTTTAATATGTAAAGAATTACCGTTTCTCCATCCTGGCGAAGTGATCAACTGTTTCACAGATGATTTAATATCTATTAAACCGTTCTATGAAAACAATTGATATATTCACTGATTATATATTAGAAACATATATACTACCGGAATCTAGTTTCCCGCCTTCATTTTGGGTGAAATACTCGCCTACTACTATGAGAACTACAAATAGTTGTGAAGTTTTTCATTCTAAGCTCAACGCGATGTTTTATACAAACATTTTTCAATTTATCGATACTCTGAAGTGGTTACAAACTAACGTTTATATAAAACAACGAAGCATTAACTAAGTTAAAAAACCGCACAACCTCGGTAATTAATAAGAACAATTTTTAAAACGAGCAATGGCAAAATTTCAATAAAAAAATTGGTAGGTTTGAATGAATAAAACAGCTTTTTTAAATTTTTACCGGTACCTAGTATATTTTTATAAAGTTAAAATTACAAAAAAAAACAAAACAAAAATAATATAATAAGCAAAAACAATATTTTTAACCTACCCGTAGTAACTATTTCTACAGACAGTCCTAAGTTTGTATAAAAATGGGAAGGGAAATATTGTTTAGTTTTTATAATATTCGAGACCCAATTGATACCTATGAAAGTTAAAAAAAAATCGGGACGCAATTAGTATGACCCCCCCAAAAAACCCGTCACGCGATTCGGAAGAATTTTTGCGGTGGGATGCAATTCGTATACAGCTGCCTGTATGCTTGAAACCTAACCTGTTATAGCGGTTTGGGGATGTATCCAACTACATTTGGTGAGCTTAGCCAAATTCTTTGCCACATTACGGTTATATTTTTATTATATTTTTATTGCCGTTATTTTATTGATATTTAATGTACAACGTAATTAATGAATAATTATTTTTAGGCCGGCAACGTGGTTACTGGTGAAATGGTTGAAGAATTAATTTTGTCTGGTGCTGATATCATTAAAGTTGGTATTGGCCCTGGATCAGTATGTACCACACGTATTAAGACGGGCGTGGGCTATCCTCAGTTAAGTACGGTTATTGAATGTGCTGATGCTGCTCATGGTCTACAAGGACATATTATTTCTGTGAGCATCTATTGATAATTACCTTAATATTAATTCTGTTTCATTGACAATACACATTACACATGAATCAATACAGTATTTATTTGTTGAAAGTATAATTTGAATTTAAAATGTTTAAATACTACAGGATGGTGGATGTGTTTGTCCTGGAGATGTCGCCAAAGCATTCGGTGCTGGAGCAGATTTTGTTATGCTTGGTGGAATGCTAGCTGGACATGATCAAAATGGAGGCGAATTAACTATTAAACCAAATGGTACTAAGTGTAAATTATTTTATGGTATGAGTTCGTTAACCGCGATGAAGAAACACGCTGGTGGTAAGGCAGAATATAGGTATGTTGTTATTATTAGCCTTATGTTGTATGGACATAATTATTAATTTAAATATATTGATTACCTCAGAGCTGCAGAAGGGAAAGCCGTTGAAGTACCATACAGAGGTGATGTAAATGATACTATTCTTGATATACTTGGTGGACTTCGTTCAGCATGTACCTATACTGGAGCTCATACATTAAAAGAGTTGCCTAAGCGTGCCACATTTATTCGATGCACTCAACAAGTGAACTCTGTGTACTCCAACATAACTACTCGAGAATAAATAACATTACTGTCCCATACTCTTGTATAATGTATATTGTATAATTAGGTACATAAACCTTTTAACAAAAAGGTATTTATTTACCTAATACAATATGGTATTATACTCAATTATTGGTTCTATAGCATAATTTATTCCAGTCACATTTTACATTACCTGAGCGCCTGTAGAATTTAAGACTGTATTTTTACAGGATGTTTAATAATTTTTTATTTTTACTAATGTAATTTCAATTTTGTGATAGAAATATTTTCTCATTGTTATTAATATTATTTTACTATTCATAATCAATCATTAGTTACTATAGTTAGTGAGGTTAACATTTAATTATAAATACAATTTAGGTTAGTTCTGGTAATTTTAAAAGTTTTTAAATAATTACAATTTTTTCTCAGTAGTTTGGTGCATAAAATATTATACTTTATTTATTTATTATAGTTGTTGATTGACCTAAAAACCAAAAAATAATTAAAATGCTACTCAATGTAAGTCTATAACTGTGATGTGATTTTTGTTTCTATATTTGGGAATATCTTTAGTTATATAACTTATAAGTTTTAAAAATGTGTGTAAAGATGTATTAGTTACCTATGTTTATCTTTTATTGGTTTCTAATCCTATTTAAGATCTGACTACAATCGAATAATTTAATGCTAATGATTAATAATTATTAGACAATAAAAAAAAAAATGAATTTGATTTGAATTTTGTACAATTATTTGAGAACGTCTATATTTTACTTGTTTTTTTATCAACTAATAAACTAAAATTTGATTTAAATTGTATTGAATAGTTGTTCGATATTATAATAGTATATTCCAAAAAACATCTAAAATGTATTAGGTACTTACATTATTACAAACATGTGGCCTACATTTAAAAATAACTAGATATCCTGTCTGGCATTGATTCAGCTAAAGCTTTGTTTTTTTTTTATAAATAGGTATATTTGTAAAAAATGTATATGCCATGTTTGTAATAATTATAATAGTAATATAATATCTATATGTACCTAACTAATAGCAACCATTTGAATTGATAAAAAATATTTTTTTTTCGTGGGCTAAAAAAATTCAGGCTTGAGCTACCCTCTACCTACCTATAGGGGTTGAACAAATATGCTATATACACACCCTTCAAGTCTCAAGTAATTTTTTGATATGAATTTTATTGAAAACGGTCTTGTTGTTTTGACTCTATTAACTTCGGATAATCTAACATAATAACATAATCAAACCTAACCTACCGCCTGTACCTATAGGTATAACCTAACTTCGCCACTAAAAAAATTAGAAAATATAAAATATAGTTCTGTATACCCATTGGGGTATCATGGTTTTAGTGTACCTTAGCTTACGGGAAAATTTTCGTCGGTGTTCCTCGCTTTGTGAACTAATTCGACTTATAAGATGGACGATTTGCATGCGGCTGCAGCCATGATTGGATATAGGTAGCACATGGTATAAAATATAAATCGAAAGTGCTTGTTCCTATTCCCGAATAACTTATGGTGACCATTTATGCTCAAAAAAACCTACTAATTTCTACTAAATAATAAATATTAAAACTATCACTATCATAATCTGTAAGAATGTAAGATGTTACCAATGGCAATCGTTTGTAAGCAAAACATGTTTTTATCGTAAATCTCAAAATCGCGATGTCGGTGCTACATTATTTCCGAAATTCAAATTAGTAGAAGTTTATGAACAACGAAACTCGTGATTATTAAGGCTTTGCGACTGTTCAATGATTGTGTAAGTGTATTAACTGTCTAAGGCGTATGATAATTGTTGAATAAGTTCATTGGTAGAGTGGATTTGTTAACCTATGAAATATTCAATCATAGAGAGAGGCCTAAATTCTGTGATGTTACAGGCTTAATAACAAATAAAGCATTTTTACTGCGAACTTTGAAAATAATCATCCGGACATTTCATAGTGTACGCAGTACGCTAGCTGGTCGGTAGGTACCTACATATTAATGCCATAATTTAAAAGTAGGTACCTACATACATGTGTCAATGTGTCATAATTACATAATATTTTACCATTTGTCAGGTTGGAGTGTTAGACTTAAAATGTGAAATCGATCTTTACATCGAATACTTAACATTAAAAAAAAAATAATAATTGTTACTACTTTGTAGTTGTTGGTCTTGCTAGTAAACAAACTCAAAACGCAACTACTCAAGCAATCTAATATAGCAGCATCCACGTACGTAGTAACTAGTAGGTAGGTATGCAGAAACTTTTCCTTTTAGAGTTCAGATACTCATGAATCTATTATCATACTGTAGCCAAGTAGGTACCTAGCTATTGCATTTAAGAATTTTCGCTACCCTGTCTTCCATTACAGTCTTGTCGATCAAACGTCAATTTTGATGGACTCCGAGATACTAAGAAGGTTTTCACAAAAATGTATTAATCATTACCATATTGCACGTGCGTGAAGTTGGCCCCCCCTGTCTTATTTCGCTTATAGCGGGCAGGGAAATGATTTGCAAATTCTGAAAACCAATTTGCAAATATTTGCAAATTATTTGCAAAATTAGTACATAATTTTCAAAAAAATCGGTCATGGTGGGGGGGCCAACTTCACGCACGTCCATATTGCTTCTATTTGGGTATCAATCATTAATCAACATATTATGTTTCTTTTTCAAGGAAAGTGTACAAATATATTTTGTATGTAAAAAACAGTGTAGTATAAGTTAACATCATTACATATCTTATATAAAAATTATTGAAGGTATTCTGTGATTCACATTGTAACTTTTGAATAACTATCGATCGGGGTAATACGAGTTATAGGTACCAATAGATTCGTCGAGCCTTGAAGCTTAGTTGGAGTATGATTATAGTTTTTTTACACCATTATAACCCAAAGGTAACTGAAAGGTAGCTCAAATCTTAATTTTTATTTTGCTTATCTATAGGTTATCCATTGGTTAGGTAGATACCTAATATTATGTGTTTATTATTAGTACGATTATCTAGTAGAAATATTCCATATACATTGCATTGGTTACAGGTTATATATAATAAAATATTTATAAATTTAAATTAAAATTTGCTTTGGATGATGAGAAAATTTACACAAGTTTTGGGGTTTCTCTAAACTTTGGAGTAGCAGATTAATAAAACGTGATTATTTTGAGTTTCCCGGTTTTTTCCTTTTGTATCCACTGTATTGTGGCCTTTGCCCGTCCGGTGTATCTTAGATGTTGGTGGTTGGATCTACCAGCTGTATCTCATAAATTTCTTGATAGGTACTCTAGATGTAAGAACTTAGGTCTAGATCACTTTCCCTTGCGCTATCAATATTGCTCAGAACTAAAGACGTCAAATTCAAAAGATCCAAACACAATTGACGGAATTATCATACTAGTGATAAAGTCAAAAAATGAGAACCACATTGTAAGTATTATTACCATCTCACATGTCGGCCATGGTCACCAAAAAGATTAAAACTAAATGCTGTTTATTAGTTATCACTTGAAAACTTACTTATTTGTCTCATTTTTGTTTAAAATGTTCGTATTTGTCCTAATAATGTTTGTCCCTTTATGGCCTCTAATAAAGAAATTATAACAAATATCTTCTTGGACCTCAAGCATTGATCGCTAAAATAAATACCAATTACTGGTGCACAGCTAGCGGTGATGAAGACATGAATACACACGACGTGTTGTTTGACTACAGAAATTGAATTTACAAAATAATGTAGGTATCATTGGGTAAGTAATCATTAGGTAAACCCTAAACATTTTATTATCTATTGAAACAATTAAATTTGGAATGTGATGTCCATGTTTTATTTTTTAACTGTGATGCTGTACCTACCTATTGGTATACCTTGTAAAAATTGTCGTTACCTGTTTTGTATTGTTAAATATTTTATGAAAAAACTTTGTTTATGTGCTTAAGAGGCCGTCACAGTAAAAGTAAAAAGAATACAACGCTCAAGAGATGATAGTGTCTTATTTCTTCGATAATACCTAGGTATAAAATATACCCGAATTTGTGATTGTAATACGAGTATAACAATATGTTTACATCTTAATTTATAATAATAAAATCATAACTCACAAGGGGTTTTGTTGGTGACAATTTCGCCCACACCACTCTGGCAAACGCAAAGAATGACCATTATAGGCACGGATTTTTACATTCACATGACTCTATTATAGTCGACAAGGCTAATCGCTATAATCAGTCATCGTGTTGTGTGTAGTTAAGGTACTACAGTAGAACGATATAACTATGGGATTTTTTTTGTGACATCGCTGAACTTGATTTGGTAAGTTATTGAACACAATAATTGTATATTACAACTTATAATAATAATATATTTATGAAGATATTACATTGATATAGAGAAATATTTTTAAATAAATAAGAAATAATGGATTAAAATCGTCTCAATAGTTTATTATAAATAATTATTAAATAGAAATTACAAAACTGTCCACCTCAGTGTAATAAAATATTTTACCAATTTTGCATTATACATTTGGAAAATTAAAATCGAAACACTTGGAAACTTGTAATTGATCGTGTATATAATTTTGTTTTCTAAGATAATAATACAACTTATTGTTTAATTATCATATATTTGTATCAACACATCTTATTTCTAGATAAATAATTATGAAAAAAGTCAGAAGCAACAACAATAAATACGATTTGTGCAAATAGTTATGGCGTGTATATTATTAATAAAACAAGTAATACTTCAGCTATAATAAATTATGAATCGTAGTAGCTAGTGTAGGTAGGTAAACTATGAATTCACTATAATTGAAACGCTGTATCGTAATTAATAAAATAAATACTTTGATTTAATTTCAATATACAACCAGTCACCAGAAGATTTGTCAGAACGTGTACCTATGTACTGTTATTTAATATTATTTTAACATTTAAAAGTAGTATAAAAAATGATGTTTTTGAGAAATTAAATTGTTATGGTTGAGATGTTGTATGGAATTATGAAAGAATAAAATAATGTTCGTTAAATGTAGGTATATATCTATAGGTGGGTTTTTATTTTAAAGCGAATTGCTTCTGACCTCTGAATATTAGACGTATTCCTTTATATTTTTTGTTATTACAAATTACAATTGTATTTATTCTAAAACTATTCCACAAGTAAATAATTTCTTTTAAATCTCGTTACTCGTACATTTCGCGAGAAAGTTTAAAATTATACAATCTTAATACAACCATAGTAACAATAAGCTATGACATTTTTTTAATGTGTACTAAATATTTTGCTAGTTAAATGCGTACAATATAGAGGAAAAAACAAAAATATTATCACCCTTATTCAAAATTCGAATAATTAATAAAAATGTTACAATCTACGCACAATTATTATTATTTTTTTTTTACAACATCGATTGATGTACAACTTAACATTATTGTTATTACTTATTATTATGTAATATTTAAGACATATGTGATTATTATTGATATAATTACCATAAATTATTAACACATTTATAATAATTGTAGTTATATTATAATAATATACGAGGAAAAAATATACAAGCTATTTGCAATTCATATGCGTCTAAATCTACTTGATACCCGATACTCCGAACTGTATGAACGACCATGTCGTGTTCATCAATATAAAAATCACTAAATAAACAAAACAGTAACAAACCGATAGATGTTCAAATAGCTTAAGGTCTAGAAATGTGTTTCAGATGAGTGGAGAGTGTGAAAGTGACAAACTTAAAATAATGAAATTATGTAGTGTAATTACAAAACACGGCGTAAATAATATACACAACGTTTGGATATGTGTATATATTATATTATGATATAATGATATGATTGAAAAAAATTACAGAAGAATCAGCTTTGGAAGATTTGGCATACATATACAAGTATAATATCCTTCGTATTGTTTTTCGTGTGCATTTATGCATTAACTTAAAAAAAAAAAACAATGTAAGAATCATATGGAGAAAACGAATCGATTAAGCTTATATGCCTACCTATATTATAATATAGGCGAACACCATATTATAATTTATAACCTTATATGTTATTCAAAGAAAATGCTATAAACTTACGTAAAACAATACGAAAAATATACCCTTTAAAATGAATTAATAATTCCTACGCATATTAGCGAGTAATACGCACACAATATTAAACTAAAGTCTAAAAAATAGTGTCTTATTCGTTGGCCAGTTTACACCTGGCTCTGAGCAATTCGTAATGCCAAGACTAGGTTTATAGGCCTGACCAAATTGATCAATAAATAAGACAACAAGTGCTTAAAATAGTTTATGGGCCAAACACGGTTGGTGACTATAATCATTTATCAATTAGGTATAATATTTTAGTGTTAGACTGTGCATCGTGCATGTTATATCTTGTTTAGACCTTAAAATATTTACCATTAACGTATGTTAGGGAACACGAGTCAAAGGATTGTACTTATAGGAAAATCACTTAAGCTTAAGTACATGACGTGATAAGGTTTTAGATTAGTTTCGTTACGAATTGTGGCCATCTGTAGAATATTGGTGTCATCATGATTTATTATAACGATACATATTTTGAAATAATTGTATATTATTTGTTTCAAACAGTTGAACCAACCAAGTAGCTCTTAAAATATCATTCATAGGGAATATTTTATTGAAATAAACACGAAGGTGTAAAAATATGCGTTACATTTATATTTTTTAGTTATGGATTTGTTTATTGTTATTAAACATTTGAAAAAAACACATGTTATTCAGTATTTAGGTACTATTAACACTTTTAGTACCACTGGAGAAAATAGCCATTATTCGTACCCATTTATATGGTTGAGATAACTTACGGACATTTTAAATGAATTATTTGTAAAAAGAAAAAAGACAATTTCCCAAGACCGTGTTTATATTTTATTTTTTGAATTCTGTATTCAAAGACGAAACATTTTCCAAACCACTTGATACGCGTTATTAAATTATTTTAATTTTAATTTTAATATATTATATTTTTTTTTACACATGCCGACACTTTTTTCATAATGTTGCTTGGTGTCATGTAAAAGACCAAAGAAAACGACGATGAGAAATATGAGAGAAAGAGATGAGCGTAGTTACTCAAGTGAACGTGAAAACTCGTGAAAAACGTTTGGTAAGTTTGGAAACAATAGAAAAGAAATATATTACAGTTACAAAAAACTACCTTAATTTGCAAATTAATTTATACGCAATACGTAATAAAACGTTTATTTGCGTACAACTACTATCTAACAATATTACATGGTCCCCGATTCTGCTGGCAATACAAAATACGCGTTCTAACAACATTTTATAAAAGATAAAATGAATATGTTTACGAACGCGATCGCAATAATAATGACAGTAATGGTCCCTTAAAACCATCATCATTATCGTCAGAATAATGACTGTAAAAACAACAAATAAAAAAACGCGTAACGTTTAAAACGAAATAATAATTCAAAACCCATTTAAAATTAGATGATTATAGTATTAAATTTAAATTAATATTATGTCTAGTATCCAAGAAAACTACTACCTATCCGAGCCATGAAATATCATCGTTAATCAATAATTCATCATAATCCTCTGGCATGTCGTTGTAGGTAGTAGTTGCACTCGGATTAACGTTATTCCTACGACTTATAGTTATATCAATATTTTAACTAAATCTTATAATTATTTAGCATCGAATTATGATCAGAACCGTTTTCAGAGTTTTTGCTCAAAAATGAATTGCCCACTAAAAGACAAAACGAGGCTTACATAGACTTCTGATGTGATCTAACTACCAATATTTACACAAAAGCACGTTTCTGCCGTTCTTGTGAACTTATCAACAAGTACTGTATGAATAAGTTAGTTTTCTGTTTACTTCCACAGTCGTCTCTGGAAATTAAATGATTAAAATAATAAGCTGAACTTAAATGTCGTGTTTTTTGATCAGATTGTAATTATTGCAAACTTAAATCCAAAAGCTAGGAATGGTGTTGAGGATTTCTCTTTGATTGGTTCGGTCAGCCTTCATATGATGTTAATACAATAAAAGGAAAAAAAATAGCAATAAAAATATATAAAAAGACAGGTAACATATTATGAAAACATGTATACGCTACACGCCGATAGGGATTTGATCGTTTTGCCAAGGTTATAGGGAAACATTTCTTAAAGAGAGATTTTTGTTTTGCAAAACATAATGATATGAAAAATACAAAATGTTCCTAAATAATAAAAAAATTATTTTTTTTTTTTTTCCGAATTCGAGATTAGAGCACGTGTAGGTTTTCACACGACTTCGACTTGGAATCTCTGGCCCACACCTTGCTTAACAACCCTTTCACCCGAAGGCTGGTAGACGTTCGGGATCCCCTGTATTTCTTGAACGTTGGCCCGCAATTTCCCAACGGTGACTTGGAGCGTTTTCGCATCGATGAAGACCTGGTCACTCCATGTTCCGGCGGTTGGTCCAACTTCAATCGTATCTGCGTCAGTATGCCAACCAGTAATTCGTCCACATTGAAGTTGATGATCACCGATGTCTCGATGAACTTGCAGTCATACCGAGTGGCCATCTGTTTGCCAACTAAAAAAAAACAATCATTGTGAATATACATTTGAATTAGTAATTGGTAAATAATGGAAAAGTGGGTTTTTTCTGGCGAAAAACAACATGTCATCCAATGGGGTCATTGTATATTGTTAGTATATTGTTAGTATAAAGACGATCGCCATGTCTATTAAGTTATGACTAACTAAACGTTAGGGGGGTAATATACTGATTTGGATGGAAATCAGAAACTTATATCCATCGTTAGTTTGTATATTATTCTCAATCCATTTTAATTTCTCCCTGAATCAGTTATCACACATATTATTATGTATTTATGTATTATTATTGTGTTTGATCGGCAATGATTCACTCAAAAAATATAAACATTCGAAATCATTTTGTTCCTACTAGGAAATTTGTGTATCACACTAAAATATTTACTGTTTGTCTGATTATATAATCTGAAATTATATTTGAAATTTTTATTAGAACCTAACTATTTGCTGAGATACATATCCAAAGTTTTATACGGTAAGTATAATGGTGCGACTAACAAATTCAAAGTAATTTTGCTTTTTTTTGAACTTTTTTCGTTATAATGGCTTATCTTGACCCTTGATCTCAACCTGTTGTTATAAAAATGCGTGTAAAAAGGTGGTTTGTTAATATAGTATACAAATTACAAATATATTATGTAATATAATACTGACAAACCAAAATCTATAATTATAACCTATTTATGATGGTTATAATTATAACTACATTAAGAGAATCTAGTAATTTTAATTTAAAATTTATTTTTCTTGAAATAAATACAGCGTAAAACCATTGATTTTATAATATTAAAAAATCAATGGTAAAACCTTCAAACTTTAATATTTAATTTGAAATAAGTAATACAAGGGTTCTTATTAGTTGATACCTACATTGTAATATCTCAATATTGGACTAATTGGTATTCGGAAACTGTGTGATTTACATTGAAATTCAATATAGTCAGAGACACGGTAAATATTATTGTGCGAGCGGAAAATTGCCAATAAACACTGTTACTGTGGGAAGAAATAAAAAAATAGACTTGTAGCATACAAGTAGGTACAATATACTACCTCGTATAATAAATCGATAGAATGAGAAATATATAAAACGATACTATTATAATACATGTGATTACCTAGAAATTGTTATTGATGTAAAATATTACTATACCTCCTGACGGCACGACGTTTGGTCTCACGATATCGTTTTTGTTACCAACTAATATCACAGCTTTATTTCTGACTATATCTGCTTTCCACAAAGCTTGTAGCCATTCTTCGGCTTGTTTGAAGCTATCCCAATCATTTCTCGAGTAGATAATACAATAGGCATGCGGGGACTCCTCGAACACGTCATTACAGTCGGCCGGCTATAAACATATTTTATTATGTTACATTATTTTTTACACACCAAAAGGTTTACCTATTATTCTTAAAGTTAACATTCAATTATTATTATATACACGAGGTTTAGTATATTGTCAATTTGTGTATGTGCAATTTATTTGATTCAAAAGTAACGTTGACAGCTCCAATGAAGTGCCTCAAATCTAGTTGTCTGGGATTTGTCGATAAAATTAGTTGATATTATTTTTATTTTTACATTTTATACTATCATGTATTCGTATGTATTTTGATTATTATTTAAGGCCGTATACCTTTTTTAATAAAAATAAATAAAAAATGCAAGAAGTGTCCCTTCAAAAATGTGAAAACAATAAAAACTGGAAAACGGATTTACTGAAGTGGTATGAATAGGAGAGTTGAGTATTTTTCTACTTATAATACTGTATAATTAAAAGACATAATAATATTTATACGATGGTATTTCTTTTTGCACAATTTACACAGGTTATAGATTTGAATTTAAAATATGATAATGTATTAAAGTTTAAAATAAATTATATTCCAATTTGATGAAGTTAGAAATAAGCTTTAAGTAAAATATGTAGAATTTTTATTAGTTATACACCCATCTATAATACCCATATCTTTTAAATATGAATTTGTAAACAAGACTTCTAAAACAATACAAGTAAAGTATATAATTGTGAGTCATCTACAATTATTTTATAGTCTCTATACATAGATTTTCGGATGTACCAATAGTAATTCAATTTCAATGGTTACTTTGAAGTTCAAAGTAATAAAAGAAATTGGTATATTTTTAATTAATTTCTATTAATTTATAAAATAAAAAATATTAAGTCAATCTAATCAATTGAATTAAAAATTACTGAATTGTGTTAGAAACTGAGTAGGTAATTGTAAGTAAGTGATTGTTGTGTGTAAAACTTGTAATCTAATAATAAGTGAGAATCTGAGAAAAGTTTAAAAGTTGGACGTCGGTTTACGGTTATAGCAGCAATTGTTTTAGTTGACTATTTTATTCGAGTAAAGTATATACAGGGTCATTCACCACGTAGGCTCATCCACTTTTTTTTCTCAAATAAAGCAGTTACCTATTTAACATTTTACTTTTGGAATTTTTAGATATACTTAGAAACCTTATTTTATAATTCTTGGGATTGATTGTACTACTTGAGGAATATCTGTTTTTCATATGCAAATCCACCTTTTCTATTGTAAATTATGCACCTAGTAGATTATATTTCTGAAAAAATATGTTGATATATTAAAATTAAAATTCAAAAGAGTAGTTTTTGAGTTATTTAATTTTGCGTACTTGGGATAATAGATCCACGATAGTGGGTTTATAAAAAATAGGAGCTAAGGTGATTAAAAAATATTATTTATTAATTGTTATTTAATTTATTAGCATTAATCGATTGAAATTTATAAACTTTACAACTGGTCTAAGGATTATAAATACTAAATCCAATGTTACATATATTTTATATTTTTGTAATGCCACCTTTAAGTATTCTTATCCTTAGTATAAACATTTTAAAAACCGAGAAACTACTCGTTTGAATTTTGAACTAGGTTTGGAAAATCTACTACTCAACTACAATAGTTAACAGATACACAGAATTAATTACGTACATTTATGGACTTAGTGTTATTTAAATAACTTTGGTATCTACCTACTTGAAATCAATTCTACTTTAAATATTTAAATTTATTTTTCTTTGATACATCATTGTTTCCGGCACTTTACCGGATATGGTAATATATATTTTAGGCACTTATGACGATAATATTACGTAGATGAGAAACACTAATTAGAAAATTCCATTTATTATTTTATCAATATAATACTAGGGTTATAAATTTTCTTGCAACAAGGGATTTTGTGTTAACTGTATTACGCGTAGTCGTGTAGGTATCTAATATCAATCACGCGATGTAGCTGTCTTTGACGTTACCACATATTTTTATTGAAATAGGAGTGTACCGGCTATTGATTTTTGAAATTGTAGCGACCTTTCTTGTGAAGTGGTTTTGAAAGATTTTATTTTCATTTGTAAAGAACACGTTTATGTTGATTACGACAAGTTTGTTTAACAAACTCTTGGACTAATAATTGGTGTTTATTTTATACGCAACACTTGTCAATGATCACTAGTTTGTTTAAACCACGTTTCTTCGTTGAAAATGGTGCAAATTACAAATAATTTATTAATTACATAATATTGATTCAATTTAATGTAATTTATATTATATAATCGAACTCGTCTTGTCTGATCAACCTTGGAGTATGAAATACCTACTATGATAACTGGAGACTTGAAATGTTCATGGTGTTTTTGTAATTTTCCAAAATTCGGAATTTAAAATGGTTCTCATACAGGAATTTCGATTCCCTTTGCTATTTTGGTATTCACGATAGGAATACAAATTTATATAAATATAGTTGCCACTGGTTACAGAAAATAAAATTTTTTAATATAATTGGATATATATTTGACCTGAATTTGATATTTGGTTACTTTATTTTTTAAGCTTGTGGATGCAAATCATGACTTACACATATTTATATATTTTTAATAATATTTGATTACCTCTTAGAAAAAAAGTTATTTATTACTTAATTGAAAGTTAAATATTTTCTTTTTATATTTTTTATAACATTTTTGAACACTATTATTATACTGAATATTAAATATTTAACAAAGTTAGAATCATATAAAAGTTGATATTTTGAAGGTGAACGATGTGCACGGGGTCAGATAGTTCAATATAAAATAAAGTATACGAATATACTCAAAAGATAATTTCACTATACATTATAATTTATATTAGATATTTATTTAAATATGATGTCGAATAATTTAATGTATTTCACAATGATTCAATAATGTATTACCTAATATAGTTCTTTATTTTAATAATGAAATGGATATACATTAATCATTTCGTATGTTTTAAACAAAATGAATACAATTTTGAAAAATTCGGGTTTTTGGCACGATGACACTGACGGTTTTTATTATTATACTGCAAATAGTGTAAAACTATTATATATTATAAATATGTACTTTATAGTACGAAAAGTATAGATGTTTATGTATTTTCTAAACTAATATTATAATATGGGTATAGTTATTTTATTATTTTAAGTACCTACCATATTACCTTATTTAACTATTTGACAAGGATAATATTCTATTCCATACCACTATACAATATGATATTATTATTAGTGTACCTACCATAGTAACATTAACCGTATACAGACTTTAATTTCGGAGAGTTCCTGGAGTGGCTTAGGGCTCAGGACTATTATACTATTATAATGTGAAGTATAGTGTCTTTAGCTCCTGATATAGAAGTGAAAGAGGCCCAAGGTAACATAATTTATAAAACTTTTCCCGTTACTAATTGATATGCATAATCGGCTACGGTCTAAGATACCTATTATAAGTTGCGGAATAGTATTATTCATTATTCGTAGTTAGTTTCATAAAGAGTGTTTGACTTCAATTTCAGATACTGAACAAAATGATGAATGAATTTATTGGTTTTACAATGATATTATATGTGTGTTATTTTTTTAGATTTTGATCAGTGTGAATGTGTGATGAATTGTATTGCAATAACCATGGTTTTACAATGATGTGTTTAGTTTTTGTGTCTTTCATTCAATTTTTGGATCAGTAAAAATGGTTCAATTTTAATTTGGTGGGTGGCTATTGTACAAAGTTGTTTTTTTTTTTGTTTGGGGGGGGGGGGGGGGAGGAGGAAGCGTAATAATTTTAGGAAATAGAAGATAAAGTTTGATGCTCCAAATGTATAATAGAAATTCCTCCTTAAACAATGTTCGTTATCTTGTGACAGACTAAAAACATTATCCGAGTAGAACCGTGAAACATTCCATAATCAATTGAACTATAATCACTTCATAATTTTCAGACTGATTTTAAGCTATTTATATATTATAGTCTTTTTTTTCTAAAAACCTCGATAAAAAATTGTTAGTTTTCAAAAACTTTGCAAATTTAATACAAGGCTCCTCGTAAATTGTTGCTTGAAATTGAAAACTACTAAAAAAAATTCGTATATGGCTAGGCAAACGCAGGTAAGGACTAATACACAATAAATTATGGAATATACTTTAAAATAGAGCTGGTTAGGTTCTCCGTTAAAATAGTTTTTTATAACTATGGACTGATTTATCATGGAATCATCAATTTAACACATCCTGTAGTGACCTACTCAGTGATGAGGTTCAATTGAAACCTATACCTACTATAAAGTGACAACCTCAGTTTTAATTTTAATTGTAAGTTGTAACAGTTTATTGCATTTATATTTCTTGACACCTTTAGACAATGATTTTGTCCTTTGGTATTTAAATGTTTAGTCGAAAACCATTGCTGAATCTTCAAATTTTGGTAAATATTAAAAAATAAATATGAAATTGCAGTGAAAAATCTCGGTTTAAAGTTAATGAAATGGAAAATGTTTGCAGAAAACCGTATATACAATAATTATAATTTATATTGTTATGAATTCCAAGATTAAATAAACGAGCAGATGTGTCAGATAAGCAACATGTTTTTATAGCCAAAATCGTTACCTTTACCTACTTAGTGCAGTTATTTTTACTTTTTAAGTACAAGTTATCTAGGGTCTCTCATTCATTATTTACACATATATTGCTTTTTTATTGAAACAGAGTGTGTACATAAAAATGAAAGTAAAAGAATATAGTAAACAAAAATCATGTGGCATTTATGAGTTCACACAAATCAGAGTACACTAATATTCTTTAGAACCTTCGTAAACCCAGTTTAATGAAAGAAAATACCACGAAGAAAAAAGTTCAATTTATAAAACTATAGGTACGATCTTAAAATTTACTTTTTTCAATTGCATTTACAAAAAGTGTACGTCGATGTTTAACTTTCTAAAATATGAAATTAAATGTTGAAAAGTATTAAAATTAGTACTTATTAGACATATATCTTAAAAAGTGTACCCAGGTAATGTAATTTAATCAAAAGTTTAATCTTGTAAAAATACATTATATTGATCTGCCTATCTGTTTACAAAATATATTTCAATGAAAAAGCTCTGTTTAAAAAATTCAAATATACTCTAGAAGTTGAATGATACTGCTTGGATGGTCACGGGTGTCTTTAAATTTTAAAGCAACAATAAATCATTGAAAAAAAAAATGTTTCTAAGCAGATATCAATTTACGGTAACCGATGGAATTTTTTTAAAAATATTTTCACATTATTTTAATAGTTTTTTTTTAACGTTTTTTAGATCTATTAAAATATTATGAATTTTATATTTTAATACTTGTTTTAACTAGTATAATTTTGTAGTTCATTAGGTATTAATATTATCTGCACGATGACTGAGATTTAAATTGAAATACATAATATAATCAATGTGATTAAATTCAGTATAAAAAGTTTAAGTAAAATTGTTGATTTATTAAATAATAATTATTGTACATCTATTCCGGGTTCGATTACTGATTAACCTATAAACATATCACATATTTACATTGTAAGCTACTAGCTAGTAAATGATAGTGTGAAACGTTTTTGTTTTAATAGATACTCATTTATTTATTAATTAATTAAAAACTGTACCTATATTAAAGTTTACAATGTAATCAAGTATATTCGATTGATTCCATGAAACTAATTTAACAATATTTCAGTTCTTTGAACAAAGCGTGTAAACAATACGTACACTGGCGTTTTGTTGAGTAATAATATTATATTATATGCTACTGATATAAACGTGCTAAATATTTTTAATTGGAAATTATAACTAATAGTTTAAAATTGTCTTTATTTATGATTTATTGAGTAATTAAATGGGATGAGCGAATCATAATTGCATTAGTTACGGTCGGGGTAATACCGACGCATGAGAAATTCAACTACACCAAAATACGGTCTTTTAACATAGTATATCAATACACCTACTGTTTAATATGCTAATATTGCAGAAGTTTCTTGTCCTGAGTAAATTAGAAATTAATAATAAACCGGATGATTTAACGAAATTAATTTGAGTATTTCCAAAATTCTATTATTTTAAAATAACACGCATACCTAACTGATATATTAGGAAATATATATAAGTTAAATATTTTATTCTTCCAGTTTTGATAAGATGTTGTAACACACACAAACCTATTGAAAATTAATTTTTTTTCTAATATAATGCATTATTATTCATTACTCACCGCATTAGACTTATCCAAAAAAATTAACTCCGACTCTTCTGCATCCAATAATACAGAAACAGATTTTTCTCCATCTTCGTCTAAAACAGAAAAAAAAATTACTCAAAAGTCAAAATATCTAACAACCAACAGTTTATCAATGATTAGGTAGCTTAATACTGTATAGACTTATGAATGTACGACATTACTATAATATATATTTATTAAGGATTATGATGGTGAATGATGATATTCTTGTTACCTATAAGTTATGAATAGTGTCTGTCATTATTCATTACAATATTTTTCACTATAAGACATAAAAACCGTACGTTAACATTAATAAACTGGAATTTTGAATTATAAATTAGTACAAATTAAATTAAATTTGAATAACTTTATGATTATGCAACAATAATTACGGGAAGCGCAACTGACACCAGGAATTACATTATATAGTAAATTGCCTAAAATTGTATTAAAACATCTTGTAATTGTTTAAATGGTAAATTCTAAAGATTCCTTCAAAACGTATTATATTCTATCTTGTAAGAATCGTTAAAATTCCCCTTAGTAGTATTAAATGTAATCATAATAAGTTAACATAAACTTTCTGAGGTCAAAGTAAAGTAGGTATAACTTTTTTTAATAATTTAGTTGCAACAAGCAATAAATATAAACTTGTTGAGTCATAATATTTTCATATATTTAGGTGTTCGTGGTTTTATATATATTTTTAATTTGAAGGTGGTGAAATGTCCGTAGTTTATCTTATTACATAATATTATGATCTTTTTATTAAGCATTTTACTATAAAAAATTAATGCATAATCTTTAAAACAAATAACCACTTGTTTTTATTCTTTGGTTAATATTTTATAAAAATCATAAAAAAAAATGTTTTTCATTGTCTTTTAGAATGCATCTTTTTAAATTAAAACGTCCAATATATTTTTAGTAGATGTTATTCTCTTTTTGTAACTCTGGGATTATTTTAATGGAATATGAATATGTAATTTGATGAAAAAAACCAACGAAAATCATTTTTGTATAGTTTTTTTGAATTATTGGTAAGCTAATAAATCTTAAACAGCTTTAGATAAACATGATTTAAAATTGGAAAGTAAAGAAACATTTTAAATTAAAACCCCCTTGGTAAGTCGTATTTGTTTGTAATAATTATTTGAATAGTATACATATTATGATAGTTGTATGTTTATAATATTTATATAGTATGAAATATATAGTGTACTCATACTATAGAAATAGAATATATAGTAAGCATAATATACGAGACAACAAAAATTATAAACGATTTATATCATGAGTAAAGTGCGATGAATACATTATTGGATTTAAAATTTGCCTCTGCTCAGAATCGTTTTTCGTATAGTGTGTAAGATTTAGGTATACAACTATATTTATCAATGAATTCAAATCCAGCAATAAATATATATATTTCAGTAGCCAACCTGAGGTACACTTGAAATCTACTGGAAGTAAATAATATACATACAGCTGAGCAAGGTTCTTGATTTTTATTTTTATTTTTTCGTCATTTTTTCGACCCCTCAGAGGAATTACTTTGAAAATTATCTTTTAAGTAGGTACAAACTGACATTTTTGTTATAAAAAATTGCTACATAAAACTTTTTAAGTAGTCCTGCCATAAAATACTGTTCACATAAAAAATCCTGTGATTTTAAAACCAATACTTAGAATTTATAAGTTATGAAATATGGTACTCTGATCATATTTTATGTACTTACAAAAACTAATACGAAGAACATGTTTTTATATCAAAGATAAAGCCTAAAAGTATGTTACCTACTTTTATAATATTCTTACAAAACGGAAATTTTAGCTAATAAAATTGAAAATTAACTGTACGGTTTCATTATTTTATGTTAGCAAAACATGTTCAATTAATGAAATTTGCGATTTGCATAATATGCAACCAGGAGAAGTTTCCATACCGTTGAATCAAGATAATTGCTTATAACACACACTTGTAGTTTATTTATTTAATATATTTTCAGAGACAGATTAATTATTTAGATATACTTAGTTCACTATTCAGCTTCAATTAAAACCCTTCGGATATTTATATAGTCTTGGGGATATTTAAGTTCATTATAGAAATTTAACTATATCAATACTAATTTATCTTATTTATGACTAAACTTTTCAACCTATGAGTATACCTATATTCAATATTCATATTAGTAATTTAGAGTTCTTTTTTTTAAATAATTAAGCACTTTGTGTGTTGTTGACTAAAAAAAAATAAAATTATATTGATTGCCTTTACTTTTTGAAATATTGTGTGTCAACAAATTATAACAAATATTGATCGTTATTTAGAATACGAATATAAAATTATTTAATTTACCAATTTAAATAAAACTAATTTTACACATTTTAATGAAAGAATATTAATTAAATTAGGAATAAGTCAACTTTCTTTTTATATCTAAAATTAATGTAAGTTTTATATAGATAGACTGGAGTTGAAGATAAGTTGGGAATAAAGACTGAACGGGACCACGTTTCCAAGAATAAAAAGAACACGAGATGGAGGAGAGTATTTTAGAGGTCAAAGAAGTATACTTTTTCTAATGAATACGCAGTGAAGAGGAATAAAAAGAAGCATTGAAAAAATTATAAGGTAAACCGCTAAGACAAAGACGAAAATTGGAAACAATAACATGCTTTGATCCATGAATTAAGTACAGTAATAGGTACCTACTCGTATATACTTTAGGTAAATCAAAAAAAATTTGTATGTTCTTTCATTTTATGATTTTAAATAGGTACAGTAATTTTTTGAAAGGCTCGTCTTCGGATGGTAATTTTCTTTTTCTAAGGGAACTTAATTATAATATTATTACTTTTCCCTATTTTATCACAATTCTTACTCTTATAAGTAGGTCCTATGTTGTTTTCGACACCTTTCTTCGTTCTTTAAAATGTCGTACAAGGGTCATACGAGCTTACGAGAAAAAAAAATAGTTATAGTTCGTAACGCGGTCCACGTACACGTGTGCCTTCTCTGTCTAGAAGTGAGGGAAACAGAGTATTTAAATTAGAATCAATGATAGGATATCACAATCGGGTTAACAACGAATATTGTGCACCATTGCACATTTGCGATATCATATGAATGGCACCCCAGCACGCAGTAGGTATATACATTAAGTTGTAGGCCTCGGTTGTTAATCGTTGGAATTATTGGCTGTTTCCGGGCCCGAGACAATGTCATTACCGATAACATTGTCTTCATAACAACGGGCCCGGTCGGGGTCGATCCGTTATTTATTATAGTATAAATGCACGAAAATCGCCGTTGTTGTTTAGGATTACGTTAGGCCGTGTATTATGAAATACATTTAATAATATTATTGAATATTTTGTGCACACAATTCGATTGTAATTCGTATTGTGCATTATGATATAATCATATTTTATTATTGTTATCAAGGATGGGAAGTCTTTTAATCAAAAGTATTTGTTATACATTTTGTACTTTGTAGTTTGAAAATACTCAAAATAAAAAATAAATAACAAGAGATAATAAAATTATCACGTTTGAATTTTTGCCGATTAATGATGAAAAGTAGGTATTCTCTAGGCAAAGAACTGAGATGTTCAGAATAAAAATACAGGACAGATTTTGACAATATATTGTGTGTCAATTATACTCAATTTATTCCAGAAAATTTTTTTTTAATTTTTAGTTTCTTACTTACATAATATTACCTTATTGCAACATACTGAAATAACAAATATTACTTAGTATTAAATATTTTAATAACTAACTTTTTACGAGGAATTGGTCTAACTATTCCAAAACATTATCTTAATATATTTACTTAGCATGGTAAAAATAAATACCCCTACGCTATAAAATATAAAAATTGATAAATCAATTTTTTACGGTTAAAAGTAAACTGAATGATATAAATTTCAAAATATCTTATTTCTCATCGTTTTAATTTCATAATAAACCTAAGGATTTGAGGAGAATTTTGTTGTTTTTTTCAGAAAATGACTGACCACAGACACCTGTAAACTTGCAGATTTAAAAACAGGACAATTCTGAATGACACAGGATACCGGAGTGACTTTTTACCTATACGATACTGAAACATCATTGAGGAAATTCTGATGGTGATGTTTCTACAATAAATAATAATATAATATAATTTCTGCTGCGAATCTTGTTGTTTCAAATCAACGAATCTGTAGATGCATTAACAACCTGTATTGCAGTAGGATAAAACGGATTTTCCGAAATACATGGACCTCGTACCTATACGGCAGTACACATATTACAATTTTATAAGGCGTAGGACGCGAAGAGAAGAGGAGGAGCGTTCGGAGGAGCGGAAAAGGAGCCGGAACATTTCACGTACAATACTCGAACGTATATATTATGGCCCATGGTGTGTAGCCCCGTGGATGATAAATCACGTGTGGCTGAGGTAGGCGAATCCTCCATCCCCATACGATTCACTTCGGTAGCGTGGAAAGCCCATCAATCGGCGGAGGCTGTGAATATATATATATATATACATACATACGTAACCTACTAACCTATCCTTTTCATCGACCCCCCCCCCCAACCGCCCCCAGTCCGCTTTGGTTTGTGCACGTTTACACACGAGCAACTGCAATATATATATATAACGTTGGTTTATAATATATATATATATGCCATATAGGTAAGTACGTGTTCAAGTACAAGTATAGTACAACCTCCTAATTCGAATTACTAACACGTTTTCGATGACTTCCGAGACTCCCGGGCTACGACGACACGGCAGCTAGCCTAAATGGTGTATTGGGACGAATTTACGCGGTTTGTTTTTCACTTTTGAGACACGATGCCATTATAGTGATCGACTCGTGTGTTCTATTCTTGACTGTAAGGCGTTTAATAATTGATTTTTTCTTTCCGACGATTTTTGGACTACAAACTATATAGGTATAATAATAATCATAATATATTTATTTGGTTTCAGTAGTAAACGTGCCGTAGTGTGTTCGTTTACTAAAATAGTCATGTGTTGCCACTGCTTACACAGCTGTTATGTACCTA